AAWTYYWWTTTTTTTTCTCTCTCTCTTTCTACATAAGTCAAATTAATAAAACTTAAATTGAAAAAAAATAATAATAAWAAAAAACTTGCACACGAGTGATCATATGCATATATATAGCAGAAGGATAAAAATATAAAAATATAAATAGAAATAAATAAAAACTAGCCACGTTTCATAAAATATCATATAAATAATCATGTGATTTAATTATCGAATATTATGGTGCTTTCAAACTACATTTTCCCACTATCCGATTATTGGAATTTTGCTTTATGGAAATTATATAATATTTCATTTACTTATAGAATTCAACATTAATCTTGTTGATTTACTTTAGAAAATGTGTCCTAATTGCATCTGAAATTATTTTATTATACTTAATTCTTAATTAAGAAACCAATCAAAATTTAAAAGAAATTTTACAATATGGTAAACTATGTATAGAAGTATAGTCTTTTTCCCTGGTCAACAAATTAGGTATATAATGATCCAACATCCAAAATTTTATACACGTTACAATATACGTAGAATCAATAATATATTTTATTTTTAAAAACAATACATATTCTACCTGTCGATATTTGATTTTTGATCTCTTTAGTTAAAGTTGTATATCGTTTGGTTTGATGGGATGAATAATAAGACAAATTAGTCAATCTTTTGTGCTCTTTAATTTGGATTCAAATATGGGTTTGGCCTTTTTTTTTTTTTTTTGGTTGGGAATTAAGAATAAAGGGAGAAGGGTTGCTTAATAAGGGCTGAAAATGAATGGAAAAGTTTTTGTTAGTAGGCATTTTGACAAACATATGATGTGTGTTGCTTATTGAGAACAAAAGTGAAAATAATATTGGAGGCATCACTTTTTCTTTGGTTGGTTTCAAACACCCTTTTCTTTTTCCAAGTTGTTGCCAAACCATTTCATTGTAGAATTAGAATATCTTTTTGTTTAAGTGCTTCCCCTCTTTCCTACTTCAAATTATGTCACCAAACTCTAAACTATTTATATTTAGGCTTTTAAATTATTTGTCATGCTTACATCAATCTCTCTCTCCTATCATATTTGAAAATTGTTATCCAAAAAGTATTTTTCTCTGTTATAAATAATAAATATTCCTTTTTTTTAGTATAACACGTGGGAGTGGGAGACCGAACTCACAACCTGAGATATATGTCAATTACGACTGAACTATGTTCGCTTTGACAATAATAAATTTTTCTTTAGTATCAACAATTTGGGGTTGGATATAGAATTCAATACCGAATGAGTAAACCATCCATTTTGACCTACAATTCAATAATTTTTTTTTCTTGAAGGATAATAATGTGCTTAGACTCGAGTGAGTTGATTGGTTTATAGAATATTTTTTCACAAAACTTTTTTATTTAACTAAAAAATTGACTTTGTTTGAGTCAAATGAATCTGGATAGAGCCAAGTACGTAAAACCTTGTCGTCTTTTTGTTTTTTGGGAAGAAAATAGTAAAAATATTAGTACTTTAAAATTATGTTATATAATTAAAATGAGTGGTTTAAAGAGAATATTGTAGTTTTTAAGAAGTAAAAAAATCCTAAAATGAAATTAAAAGTATCATGTGCAAAGATGAATTTACGATAAATAAGAATGGATTCTAGCAACTTTAAGATAACTTAATCTAATTTATTTGATTTGGCTTATTTGGATGATTAAATTAACGAAAAAGGCTAAAACAAATAAAAACATTAAATGATGGTTAATTTGAGGCAACCAAAATAAAATCCAACTTCAATTTCCATTACTCTTTTCCTTTACATAATAACTGCATGGATGAAAACCATTCCAACCAATTTAATGTGCTCACTGCTCACAGCCACTTTGTACTTTTCATTCACTGTAAAGAAAAATTAATAAAAGGAATATTGAAATAAATGCATGGAATTAAAAATGTATTCATCCAAGAGTAAATTCTGTTACAAACAATCATTTATGATCAGTTATGTCTCAATATAGAAAATTGATCATTGAATTACAAATTTTATCCCTACAATTTTGATTCTTATCATTTTGGCCTCGTTTCAATGCAAATTCAAAAGCATTGTTCTACCAAGGACTTGAACGTTTACCAATTTTTTTCTTTTAGTTTTTACTCGGTCCAAAATCCTAATACAACCAACTAATACAATTAGACAAATAGAAAACATTAGTTCGATGTTATTACACAAAAGAAAAAAAAATTATATGATAACAAGGATATTCGAGATGTTTGACGACTGGAATCAAATTGAAACAAAATTTCAATAAAAGGAATTACATTTTGAMCTATATAGAGACTAAAATTTTAATTTAATATTGTTAATATTGCTGTTGTAATATCCTCTCACTTTAGGAGTATCGTTAATAAAATTAGTTTTCCAAAACGATTGATACAAATTAAGAAATSAGAAATCAAGCTTTATATGAGAATATTACATATTACATGATTTTTTAGATTAGTCCTTCCCAACATGTTTAGATTCGTATTATATGATTTTTTTTTTWAAGTACGATTCCTATTATATGAATTATCTGAGCTAGCATTGCTATTGGAGTAAAAAACTAATTAGTTGACTAGAAAAAAATGTTTCAAGTTTTCATTAATTATTTAATATTTTACAATATTCTTAGGTCAATACTCTGTATGGATTTTTTTTTTTTTTTTTGACAATGTATGGAATCTTTTCATAATTCATTAAATTGGATTCAATAAATTATAGAATATCATAGTTATAAAAAGATAAAATAGCTTCTACTTGTGTATTATAATATTAAAATCTACTATTTACTCTAATTTCTTGGAGGGCAGAAAAGGAAGAAAGAGCAGGAGTAAATCTTAGGGGATAGAAGAATAAACTTAAACTAAACTATTCAAACAATTTACATTTTCTAGAGACCAATTTATATATAACATGATTTAACTAAATAAAAAAAACGGAAATTATCATAGATTGGGTTAGATTTTAACATTTTATTTATTTGACTTGATGTACAAAAAAAAAAAGATCAAATATCATACAAGTTGATACTTATTTATAATTTGTGATTTTAAAAATAACTATATAAAGAAATACAGTAACTGCCAATCGAGCATAATTTAGTCATAAAATACTATCTTTTTTAAATAGTTTAATAATAAAATGAAAAAATACAACAATCGATATTATAGATATTTACAAAAATAGCCATTAGATTATCAACTCTGAATTATTCGAAAGCTTTCTATTGGTTTGAGAAAGAAGGAAAAGTAAAGTTAAAAAAAAAAAAAAAAARTTCCAAATATAGAACTACGAGGCTACAAGGTGGTCTGTGAAGCCCAAATAACTCATTTAGGCCCAATATTGGAATGGCCACTTTGAAAATAGAGTTTTTCTTACACTCAAATACCAAATATTTATAATATTTTAAAATGTGTGTGTGTATAYATATATTTTCCTTAATGCACCCACCTCTTTCCAACTCTCTCTATATATTAAACCCTATTCCTATTGGATTCTTGAAGGGAAAATGAAATATAAGAATGGATTTCCTTTTAAATAAAACAAGACACCGTCGTAAATTCTTAATATAGAAAAAATAAAATAAGGTCCTATTTATTTACCCGCAACCGTAATCAAGGAATCACAATGATTACGGAAACAATAAAAACAAAGAGAATATTAAATATTGACATGTGTGAGTTTATTCCACATGACTTCGAAGCAACAGAAAAAATACAATACAGTTCCAAAGTTGAGAAAGAAGAAGGTTGCGGTCGTATAGCCTTTTAAAAAGCTTATCTTTTGCTCTAGACTTGGTCTATTTTCTAATTTCTTTTTTTGTTTGTTTTATTTTAAGCACTATTTATTATTATTATTATTATGAGACGATTTTGTTGACTTTCTTTGAAGAAGTTTGGCGTTGACTTGACTGCCATTTGCTGCAGGTAACTCCATTTAATAATTAAGATCCTTTTTCCCCTTTCCTGCCACGTTGTTCTCTTCTCCTATTTACATACATTACTCATTTAATATTATACATAAATAAACCTACAATTTTAAGTGGGGCTAAATTAATTTTTAGCTATAAATGCMTAATCATTTATAGGACTAGCAACGAGAAAATTTTATAGTCTAATTATATACCAAAGGCATGGAGATTTCGATCTCTCATCCCCCGTTTGTTGTACTAAAAAAAATTATATATATAAAAAAAAGATATTCTTTTTTTTTGTTTAAAACTTATGCAAGCTATATTTTCGAAAGATAATATTTGGAAAGATATTTTACGATTATTCCTAAAATACTACCAAGTCAATATTTTAGAATTATCTCCCTATGCATCCATAAAAGGCGAGAGTAGTCTTTTTCCACACGGTTTGGCTATATATTTTTCCCCCCTTCTCTAACTCTTACTTAATTGAAACAAGWGATTTGATATTTTTCCACATGATCGATGGTTSAATATCTCATCTCATAATTATTGAACTTAATAAAATTATCACAGAGAAAAAATACATGTACGGATAATTTGCTACTCCTGTATTAACAGGAAAGAATGGAAAGAGATTTGATATTATTCAAACAATAAAATATGTATATGCAAAAGAGAATAAAAAAAGGCCTTTGGGTTGATTCTCTCAACCAAATGGAAGAAAGAAAACATGTATATAGCTTAAATTCCTAACTACTCCAAATAAAATTCTTTTTTCCCTTTAATGTGTATAAAAAAAYGAGTGTTGTTTTATTTTCTAATCTTTTTGTCTGAAAATGGCAACCTTTTGCGTTGTTTGTCTTGGTCAATCGAACTTTTCCGCTAGTTTACGAGTGAGAGTTGCTAGTTGCATTATTATCAACGTTATTACTATTATTCGAAGTGCCATTACTCGTCTCCTTCTGATGTTGATGGTGAGACCCCCCAATTATCGACGTCATCGCSGTTGCCAAAGCGGCAATAAAATTCGGGTCGGCCGCAATCGCAGCGCCCGCTGCACTCAACGTCTCGGCGAATGGATTCTGCGGTGGCTGCGCCACCTGAGATCCCTCTATCTCCTTGGACATTTGGAGGCCGGAGAATTTGGACTGGTTGTGGTACAAGGGCTGTCCAAAGATCTGTGGCATCAAATTGTGAGTTGGGGTGAGGAACGGAATCTGGAACTGGCCGGCCGGTGGCCGCTGGAAGGGTAAAGAATTCGGCGATTGCGTGAGGTCTAAGGTGACGGTGGGGAACGGGGCGGAGGCGGAGATGGTGGCCATGCTCGAGGAGCACGGCAGCAGAGTTCTCGCCAGAAAATTCGAGTTCATTAAGCCTTCGGCGCTCGACATCGATCCCGACAGCAGCATTCTCGCTGCCGAGGATGTTGTCGAGGCCATGGCCATGGCAGCCGGCGGTAGAGGGTGGTTGTGATTGCCTTCGTAGGTTGTTATTAGGATTGTTTTGTCTTCTGCGCACCTCTGAACCTGTAAAAAAAAAGGGATTTTTGGAGATTTAGAATGTGATTTTTTTTTTTTAATAAATGGGAGTGGCTTCGTTAGAATGTGATATTCTGAATAATGAATTTATTTATAAGATGTGTTTTTGGAGATAAATGAATACGAATGTGAATTATTACTTGTTTCCGAACTGGGCAGCCAGCGGCCATGGTGCAACGGTAGTAAGCTCGAGGACATGGGTTTCCTTTTGCCATTTTTTGTCCATATTTTCTCCATTGGCATCCATCTGTGATCTGAAATAGAGTTCAAAATTTCAATTTTTACCGTTACTTTGATCAAACTAATTAAGCTAAAAGGGAAAATGTTTAACTTTTATCTCTTAGAATTTTTTATTTTGTTACTTTAAACCCTGAATTTATACAATTATTGGAATACTAATACTACCTCAAAATTTAATTAAAAAATTAACATTGAATTAACAAAATACACAAACTCATGTCACAAATGACCCCAAATTTATGATGAAAATATTCGAACCTAAGTAAATGGGAAAAAAAAATCTAATTCTTCAGCTTCATATTTGTGATCTAATATTTAGAAAAAGATTAAATCCAACTAACTAAAATCATTTAACATCAGATACAATGGAAAAGAAATAAGGTTGAATAATCCAAAAACACTAGCATACATATATAGTCCAATCATAAAATTAGTTATGGGTATTGAATTGGATTCAAATTGATGGATTTAAAAAGTTTGACTAATTACTTGAGCTAATTAGATTCTAATTTTGTGTTTGAAAACTGATTTTTTTTTCCCAAAAATAGAAAGATGATATTTTAAGTGTTGAAATGAAGATAATACCATGGGAGCTTCGGATCGGGCTCGAACTGAGACTCTGGCCTTTCTCATGGTAGCCTCAGTCTGGTCCACGTCTTTACCCGGAGAAGAAGAAGAACTGAATTTCGGAACCTTATTATTATTATTATTGGATCCCCAGTTTGATCCCTGATCCGGGCTATGCCGTTTCGACGACGATGACGCCACTTCTCCCGTGTTTCCCGGTGACCGTGACCGCCGATCGCCATCCGAGGACGACATCGATGGCTCATCCGTCTCCGTGTTAGTAGCCAATCCAAGATCCATGAATTGCCTCGGCACCAACTTCCCTCCTCCTCCACCACTGCCACCGCCTCCACCGCCCTTTTCGTCGATTAATTGGTCGCCGGCGTCGGACTTCTGGGTTTGAATTAACGTGGTGAAGTGCATCTGTAAGGCGTGGTAATTGCTGGTCACTTGATTTAACATCTCTTTTAATCGTTGGTTCTCTGTGTTTATTCTCTCCAGTTCCGCTTGAAGAACTACTCGCTGATGATGATCATATGGAAAATTCAACCCACAATTATTAATATCAGAATTGACCAGTCCTTGATAATTAATAAGATTTGAAATTAATTAAAAGTTTGTTACCTCGTTTTTGGATCTTTTATCTTCTGGGTTTGGTGAGGCTCCATCGTCCACCATGGATTGATCGCTACTGGAATTCGTGGTCAAAAGATTCAACCCCGTCTGAAATTTCATTCAAATTCAACTAAATCACCCAAAACATAATCAAATATTCACTATTAAAAAAAAACCCTTTTTTTCCATCTACTGAATTTTTAGAACTAAGCACCACAACCCCATCTGAAATTTGATTCAAATTCAACTAAATCAGCCAAACAAATATCACAATTCATTAAAAAGAAAACTTTTTTTTTCCATCTACTGAATTTCTAGAATCAATCACCACAACCCCATCTGAAATTTGACTCAAATTCAACTAAATCAGCCAAACAAATATCACAATTCATTAAAAAGAAAACTTTTTTTTTCCATCTACTGAATTTCTAGAATCAATCACCACAACCCCATCTGAAATTTCCTTGAAATTCAACTAAATCAGCCAAAGCCCACCACAATTCACTAARCTAGAGAGACAAAATCAGAGAAATTAAAAAGATATGTGACGAACGTTAATGTTGAAGTGGGCGAGGTTGGAGGGAGTGAGATTATTGTCGGAGGTGGGGACCTTGGCGACGCGGGTTTTGTCGTCGGCGGCGAAGAAGTTGACGGGCGGCGGCGGCGGAGGAGGGGAGGAGTTGAGGTTGACCGGAAATTGGAGGGTGGGGGGAGGAGGAGCGGTGTCCATGGCGGTGGCGGTGGTGTTGAAAATGGTGTGAAAGAGGATGAGAATTAGTAGAAGTAATAAGAGGAATCGAGAAATGAGAAGAAGATCGAAACAAGGCGAATGGATCTGAATCAATGGAGAGTCCACTTCCTTTGCCCATCAAATAAAATCCCCACACAGAGAGAAATAGGTCTTTTTGAAACCGTTTCAATGGACTCGGCTATAATTTTGGACAACAAGACCAAATTTTACACTTCAACAAACACCCCTTTTCCCACTTTATTAATTCTTAATTCTTTTTCTTTTCTTTTGTATTTTATTGTGTGTGTGAGAAGAAGTTATGACAAAATTTCATTAATTAATGTTATTGGACCAAACATAACCCAACCAAAAGGACCTAGCTGGACCCCCTTCTCCTTTTTCAACTTTTCAAACATCTCATCAAATAAATTACAATAATCTTAGTTTCGATTTAGTCTTAATTTGGTACAATTTAAAATTTTCAAGCTTGTCTCCCTGGTTGTTTCTATGGTTTCGTCAAATTATATATCTTTCTAATTGGTTGGTTGTGTAGTTCGTCACTGTGTTAGAACTAGTTTACGCTAAGTAAAAATTATACAGAGAAAGAGAAAGAGAGCGAGTATTTCAAGTAGATAAAAAGTGGTTTAAAGATAATTTGTAAAGTTTTGCTCATCCGCTCTAGRGGGTAAATTAAAGCTTTTAGATATTTATGGGCMAATTTTTTTTTCTAATTTCATTCATGGACTTATGTGAAATAACTAAGYCAAAAATTTTCATAAGAATGAAATTTATAATATAATTTAACATTTTCCGGTTAAACTCTTTCATTAATTATTAATCAAGTCTTGCAAAACTCTTCAACCGTTTCATATAGTAGTAAATAAAATATATTCGTGAAACTAAACTTAGCTCAATTAGTTGGAGATAAAGATTATAAAATTTKGTGGAAATAAATTTCAAATATTAAATTTTTGAGTTTTTTTTTTTCAATGTATAAAGGAAGAAAAATCCCTTTTTGCGAGAAAGGAAAAAAAGAAAGATTAAGCATTCAACTTCGTGTTTTGAGTGATGTAAATATGCATTGAACTTGGTATAAATTTATGTGCCTTTTCCTTTTATGTTTCAAATCAATTATTTCTTTGATTAGGATTTGAAGAAACTTTGTTGTTTACAAATKTTGTCTCTTTCTAATTGCCTAAACTAAACCATAATTRTTGTAATCCTTCCATTATATATACACTGTTTTAAATCAATGTTGTAACTACTAATTTAATTTAATTTAATTTTACGTGGGTATGACATCTTTGAATCTTGTACCAAACTAATGATTAAAAAATTTGAAAGAAAATGCTTTGAATTTGTATCAAATCAATACACCTATGCACGTCTCACCACTCACAATACCTTTAATGATAAAAGGATAAAAACTCGACTCTTATTATAAACAAAAATAATATAGAAATATAGATTATTATCTCCCTACTACCCAAATTTGATTGATAAAATTACATAGCTTGTTTCATTATTTCTCTCTAATATGTTCTAATCCCTTGTATATATTTTTTCTTTTTATTATAATTTTGTGTTACATGAGTTTGAGATCGTTGCGATGCTTTAAATAATTGATGTTAGCACATCAACAATAAGTAAATTTTAAATATTAAAAAAATATATTTTAGTATACGGTAATTTGATATAATTGTTACATTTGGAGAAATAATTGTTATAACAAAAAAATAGCATCATAGTATAATGGAGAAAAAAAAATGCTGCCTTGAACCGATTACTAATTTGAGAATTTAGCTTTAATAGTGTTAAGTTATACTCTCACGAAATGAAGAATAAAACTAGAAGACAAATTAATAGTTGTGTGACAAAAAATATATAAATATTTTAAACTTAATTGAAAATTTGAAAATTTTTAGGGAGAGATCTCTAATTTTTTTTTGAAAATCTACTTTAAAAGTTACTGATGAATCATTTTGAAAACAAGTTGTGATGATAATCTTATCTTCCGATCTATTAGTCGATGATATATATTAAAAGTAGGTTGGATTATGTGTATGGTAGCACGTGGTAGGTGGGGCCCAGTGTAGAAAGCGTATGATATTTAAGAAAAAATGAAATTAATTAGTGTTATTAATTGGAGAATCAATAAATAAGAGAGAGAAATAATTGAGGTCCTAAACTTCACCGCCCTGATTGGCCCGGCGCCCCTTGCTGAGAAAGTGAAGTCCACGCTCCCGTGGTGGGGCCACGTCTGGATATTTTTATATTTTTATTTTTATTTTATGCTAATTTATTTATAGTAAATAAAATAAAATATAATTTGACCATTGACACGTGGGAGGGGGGTTGATAATTTGGACTAAGAGGACCGAAGTAGATGGGTTGACTTGCCGAATCCCCAGCTCCCCAGCTCTTCTGTCTTTTACTTTGTCCAAGTCCTTAGCTACAACTTTTAACAATTATTTTTAAGTATTATTTTAGCTTCCATTRTTTTTATTCATTTTAATTTTTATATTTTTAAAAGTTTATGTACTTTTGAAAAGCCAAAATTTTTTATTTTTGTTTGTAAAGTTTCTACGCAACTCATATAAATAACATAAACCGTTTAATATAAAGTTATAGTTACACTTCAAGAAATTTATTGAGTATTGTGTTGATATTATGATCGAAAAAATTAGATTAGAAAGAAAGTAAAATAACTTAAAATAGTTACTTTTTAAAAATACATGAACCAGAATGTTTATATATAGATACTAGATAAATAAGAGCTGAGAAAATAGGAAGGTTAGAAGTATAAAGACTAAATGAACATTTTCAAAGTATATGGACAAAAAAAGTATTTAAATATAGTAGAGGTTAATAATCAGCTAAAACTATAAATTGTGTTTATTTAATATATAAATGTTTTAAAAGAATTCATCACGGTCTTTGAATTTTGGATGAGTGTTCATTGGATCCACCACCCTAAGCCATGTCGATCAAATCGAATTTTGGATTAGTCATTGATTCAGTAAATCTGTAAACACCATTAGTGTGATGGGCTCAGTTGGCATATTTTGGAAATTTTAGACAAAAGATAAAAGCTTTGTTTTGTTTTCAGGAAAAAAAAACTGATTGTCCCATGAAATTAACAAAGATCTGGTAAAGACACACTATATATAATAAATATGTCAAAATATAAATTAACTACTTAAAAGAGGTTTTTTCCCCCTCTTCGTGGACTCAATTTATATTATAAAGTGAGCTAAATTAAAATGGGTAAGATATATATATATATATATATTAAGATAAATAATAATCTCAATTCTAATTTGTTATTATTTTATTCCAACATTCATTATTAATTTATTAAAAATGTAATGATGAAAATGTATGTCTTTTAAGCTAAAAAAAAGTTGAAGTTGTGGTATTCACTCAATTATAAAAATGTATTATATTATTTAATCAAATAAAATTAAGGTAGGATGAAGATGGGAAAAAGTTAAAATAAGAAAAAGAAGATTATGTTCTTTTCATTTAGAAAACGTGGTTCAATTAATTTGTTTCTATAATGGCTTACCTATATAATTAAGAACTTAGAAAAAGAAACTATCATTTTGTAATTATTACTAACCAGGTGAAGTAATTATTGATTGATTATTTTAGTTTAATAATATATATTTTAATTAATCCTCTAATTTTAAAAATGATCAATTCTTTTGGAAGTCAATTAAAATTAATACAACATGAGTATAGYTTTACACATTAGGTTGTAATATGAAATTTTCGTTTGGATAATTTTTTGAAGTCATTTTCTACATTAATATTATTACGTCATAATATTTTTTAATACAATTTTATAAGTTGTTATGATTTTTTCTTTAATTACTTGTCATCTAGCATTTGGATCATTGAATTTAGAAGTAAAAAAAGATGCCTTTCACACTCTAGTAGTAATGAAGGAGCCACTCCACTTGAAGGCATCATTTTCAACATATAGAATATAATAGAATGGATGAAGACTTCAAATTATAATATAAAAAGCCACCATTAATTAATTATATTTCTCTCTTTTTCCCATAAGAAAGAGTCAACAATATTACAATAAAGCCATTCTTCTCAAATTTCAAACTATTTTCACCTACAATTCAATGAAATTTCATTATGGGACTCCATTCAACCCATAATTTGTAAAGTCTAAGAAATTTTTTCCAAAGTTCAAGAAAAAACCAATTCATTTCTTTTAATAAAAGAAAAAACATTCGATCTAAATGGTTCATAATCATTTAAAGCATTGTATTAGGATTGATTTTATTTTTTTCTCCTAAATTATTATTATTATAACCAAATATGGTAAATGATTGAAATGAAATTACTATTCACAAATTCATAATTTTAAAAAGACAGATAATTTTTTACTTGTCAAACTAATAGACCATTTATAATAACACAATAAATAAATAAGTGTATATATTATACAAATTCTGTTTAGAAAAATTAGAAAACTATTTTGATGACAGCTGTGAAACATGTTTTTCTTCCATATTCAAACTCTCAGCTCTCTTGATTCGCATTTTYCAGTCATACTTTCTTTTAATAAAATGAAATATATATATTATAATAACTTGAATGAATTTATTAAGAAAAGCCAAAAGAACGTGAAAGAGGAAATATTTTAATCATAATAAAAAGTTTTGTGGAACAATTTATGAGGTTTTCTTTTTATTCAAATAAAATTCAATTAAAAAAATATTTATATTCTCAACCAATCAATTGAGTAAGTTAAAGTATATATTTTCAATCAAAAGTTCAAATTCTCGTCTTTACTAAATAGAAACCCTCAAAGTAAACACTCTTTTGGACGTTTTTTTCTTCTTTTTTGTTTTTTTTCGTGTCTATTGGTCAAGGCGGTCTAGTTTCGTCTTAAACAGTTTCATCTCAATAAGAAAAAAAAAATGTTAAAATCAATCAGCAATACCATAATATGTGATATTCTTACGAGTGGTTATAAATCAATTCAGAATTGATTAGAAATTAGGTACAGTAGAGTAATTAGCACGAAAGACACCAAAAGAGAGGAGAAAATAAAAATGAAATAAGGTCAAGGGTGGACTTGGACTTTGATATATGATCAAAATTAGTGATGACATCGAGTTCGAGTASCATTATCCCTTTGTCACCATTGCGTTGTTTATATCACTAATCCCGACATTTCAATCGATATCGACATTTAACTCAWTYTCGTGGGGAAGATGAAAACGGGTGCCTATTAAGTTACAAACTTGCAAATTTTAATCCAGTCAAAATGGCATGTCTTAGGTAGCCTTTTTAGGGGGTGGGGGTCAAATTTGGAAGAGCATACTTTAGAAACAAAGGAGAGGGAAATTGATGATAGGGGTTCATATTTCAAACATACATACCATCATAATATTCATATACTTTCCAACAAGCATACTTCAGAGAAAGCAACACATACACAACCAAACATGTTTAGCTACAAACTAGGAAGCCAAAATTAGGACAAAGGGGGGAATGGAATGGAACACATGCCAGTTCAAGCTGACAAGTATTTTGACATCCAGGATTGGAACCGAGACCACGCCAATTCAACTGCATTGTCGTCCTCGTCGTTCATTCCCATGTTCTTCCTCCTCTTCACACCTTCTTCGGATCGGTTCATGAAAGCATGTCCACTTCCTTTATATATATGCACCTCATATGGAATTCCTGATTCTTTCAGCTTTTCCTCCAGTTTCTTAGCAGCCTGAAAACCCAAATTTCATTGTTATGGCTTCATCGGTCAATGTCTGGTCTCAACAATCTATAATTGTATTATGTATAATACCAAATCAACATATTCTTGTCAACAATTCTATCATCAATTTTTTACCTACTCATACGGCGTATTTTAACCAAAAAGGAAACACTATGCTGATTCACATACTCATATTGAATAGCAAGATTATGAGAAAGGCTCTACCGTCACGTCGGAAAAGCCAACAAAAGAATCGAGCTCTCCAAAATGAGCCTGAACAGGTGCCTTGGCCTGGGCAGGATCTGCAAGCTCTGGTGAAGGAACTCCATAGAACGAAACAACAGCATCTACATCAGGGATCAAAACAGAACTTGCAATAGAAAGAGCACCCCCCATACAGTACCCAGTTACACCGACCTGGCACGATTGAGTATTGTTAAGTTTAGAGAAATATAAAACATGATCTAAAAAATAATGATTTTAGACTACAGCCCATCATACCTTCTTTGAGCCATTAGCCTTGAGCCAGTTGACAGAAGCCTGTATATCCTTCACAGCACCTTGCCAGTCGAGACCGTCCATCAGATGTTGTGCTTCAGCGGCATCTAATCCAACCTTTCCTCGATACAAACTGAAACCAGAAATACGGAAAGAAAATACTTAGCAGTGAAAATGCAGGACAACCAAGGAAACCAATTATATCATCAACATCAATATCATAAAGAAAAACGAATTAATAATCCAAGAAATACAAGACATCGTACTCTGGAATAAGTGCCCTGAAACCAGTACCGAGCTCAGATATCTTTACAGCATGATTCTTTATTTCATAATCCACTCCCCACCATTCTTGGAGCACAACAATTCCAGGGGCACCATCTTTCCCCACAACATAAGCATCAAATTCCTGCTTGAATGGAACAGAAGTTGAAATGGTTGAGAGTAAAAAGTCTCTGGAGTTGAAATTTTGAATTGTTGAGTGAACCAATCTCAAGTATCAGAATATAAGCAGAAATAACAACAAGGTGATAGGACTGCTATTATGATAGGTTGGGGATATTATTAGAGTATTAAGGGTATATTAGTAATTGGGTTAGGGAGTTCGGTTATAAATAAGGTGAGGGGGAAAGGATGAAGGTGGGCAATTAGTGAGTATGGTTTAGGCTTGAGTAAGAATACTCAAAAGAGGGGAGGGTCCAAGTACCTCGAATTACTTGGTAACTATGGTAGTTATTATATTTTGTTGTATTTCAATATATTTCTAGTTTGGGTTCTCGTTTGGGTTCTATAAGGGAACTGAGTGTTTCAAAGCTATAGCTAGTAAAACAATGAAAGCTTTATTTGTGGGTTTGAGATGTTATGGAAAAAAATTGTTTATGAGTGAAATAATTGGGATGGAAACTAAGTAAGTTTGATGGTAGGATTAGTGATTTTGAAAAAAGATATTTAAGTAGAATTGATTTTTCAAAATCACCATCTAACTCATTTTTCACAAAAAGCACTCTAAAAAACATGCCAAATAAGTCAACAATATAGGCCATTAGGAATCTGGCTGTGGTTGCATTATAACAGAGCCGTAGCTACCCAATTTAATGATCACTTCAGACAACAAAACTTAAAATCAGAGTCCTATATGTTTCTCCAGAAACCCCTTATTCATGTTAGGGTTAGAGACATCACAATTTCTCCAGTTTGATCAGTCACGATGGGCAGCTCCATTTTCCCTTAAGCTAAAAACACAGAGACCCATTGAATAAAGTAGCTGAATCCCACCACTACCCCACCCCCTAAGAAAAAAAAATCTCTTCCAACGACCAGACAACAAAGAAAACCATACCCAGTAAAGAAAATAACCACAGATCAAATGAAACGCAGAATCAAAGAGGAAAAACGCGGAGGCAGAGTAGGAAGTGGACTCACAGTGTCGCCCCTCTGAATTTGGATTTTCTTGAAAGGGGAGGAGGCAGAAGCGGCCATGGAGCGGACCGAGAATCGAGAAATTGAGGAGGTAAGCTTGTGAAACGTGGAGAAGGTTGCTGTAGAAGTTTTGAGAAGCGATCCAGATGAGGAGGAGGAGCGTAAAATCGACGCTAGCATTTCTCAACGCTCAACGATGTGACTCTTTTTTAATATGAGAGAGAGAGGATCCTCTGTGAAGTGTGCAAAGTCAAACGCTTAGCGGATGAGGCAGAAATGGGGAGCAAAGCAAGCAAATGGCACCAAACGACGTCGTTGCTTCGGTAACGGCGACCCCGATCCTGACGGCGATCATAAGCGGTGGCGGTGCCACTTCAGGATTTAGACAAAGGTTTTGAAAATTCTCATTTTTGCCCATCTTCATTTTATTCATTTTCAGAGATTTATTAGAAATAATCTCAAATGATCATTTCTAAAGCATGTATATTAAAGTGTTAATCCAAATATAGATAAGATGATTCGAAATTTGGGAAATAATTTTAAACTTTCGATCTTATTTAAACAAAAATGATTTGAAATGATATTTTTTTTTGAGCATTCGTTGAACAAAAATGAGTATCTTTTAATCTTAATTTATTAATCACGAATTAAAATATGAGATAAGTAATTATGAAAAATGGAAATTTTTTCACAAGAATGCAATTTGAAATCAATAAAAACTTCAAATCATTCTTTTTTCATGCGATATCAAAGTATAAAAGTAACATAATGGTTGATGGCGAGTTCTAGAAGTCCATGTGTCCTACAGAACGTAGTGTCGTCGAAAAAATGAGTCTGGAACCACAATCCTCGACACTAGTGTGATGCCTCGCCTAATAGACTCTAATACTCAAGTTAATAATTGGGGTAAGAAGTGGTGGAAAACACCTTAGAAAATTAATGACAAATTTTTCACTTGCTTGATGATGATGGTACTCTTCCCTTTTACAAGTGTTCATGGTTGACTAGGGAGGACGTTTCATACGTGGTATAGCGATGCTATTCGTTTTATAGGAGATTCTAACGAACAAATGAGAACATTTATAGGATGCGATGGTCACACTGTCATTGTCTGTCTTTCTTGAAGATTGTCGTTTGCAAGTCGTGATGCGTCTCTCGTACTGTGTGGTAGGCGTGCAGCCCCCGTCCTCTCCTAATCACACGCTCCACGTCGTCTGTGGTTCCCCTTCTAGCTGTCATCCCTAAATCCTGACACGTCCCATGTTCGGATTTCTCCCTCAACAACCAAATGGATAAAATGGATGGTTAAATCTCCCACCACGTTGGGATATGGCTATAAAGCGAAGAGATGCACTCATTTGTTTGAACCATTTTGTTACCCAAGCATCCTCCTTTGGTCGTTAATGTTATGCCACACTCCTCCGAGTGGTTACTGCAGCTTCTTCAACGATTCCTCAAGAACTCGATCAAAATCCAACAAATCCACGCCCTCCTAATCACCGGCAGCCATCTCCTCTGCAACTCCAAAGCTCCACCAAATCCAAAATGGATCAACACTCTCCTCTTCAACACTCTCATCAGAGCCTATCTAAGTTTCAACCAACCTCGCTCCGCCCTCCTCCTCTACACCCACATGCTCTCGCACCACGCCAACCCCAACGCCCACACCTTCCCTTCAATCATCAAATCCGCCGCCGTTTCTTCACGTTTTCTGGGCAAACTGATTCACGCCCACGCTGTCAAGATTGGCGTTCTGAGCGACCCGTTTGTGCAGACCTCGTTCGTTGGCTACTACTCGGAGGTTGGGGAATTGGATGATGCACGTAAGGTGTTTGATGAAATTCCGAACCCATGTATTGTCGCGCTTAACTCTATGCTTGATGCGTTTGTCAAAAATGGGGACCTGGGCTCTGCTGTTTTGATGTTTGAATCCATGGGAGAGCGTGATGTGGTTTCTTGGACCAGCGTCGTTAATGGGTTTTTGTGGAATGGGCGCTTTCTTGAGGCGATTTGGTTTTTTGAGATGATGATGAGGAGTTCTGTGAAGCCAAATGAAGCCACGTTTGTGAGTGTACTTTCTTCGTGTGCTAATTTGGATGCTGAAGGAGCTCTTTGTCGAGGGAAAGAAATACATGGTTATATAATTAGAAATGAGGGTGAGTTGAGTGTTTTTGTAGGGACGGCGTTGATTGATTTTTATGGGAAAATGGGTTTCTTAGGAAGTGCAACAAATGTTTTTAATCAAATGAAGAACAGGGAGATCTGCGCTTGGAATGCAATGATTTCTTCGTTTGCATCCAATGGTAGAGAAACAGAAGCACTAGACCTATTTGCTGAAATGAAGGCTAAAGGAATCCATCCTAATGAGGTTACATTTGTTGCAATTCTCACTGCCTGTGCTCGTGGGAAGCTCGTCGAATTGGGGCTGCAGTTATTCCAATCAATGTCGAACAATTTTGCGCTTGTGCCGATTGCTGAGCACTACGCCTGTGTGGTTGATCTCTTAGGCAAAGCAGGGCTTTTGAGAGAAGCAACTGAGTTCATAAAGTCGATGCCCTTTGAGCCTGCTGGTTCTGTTTTGGGAGCCCTTTTGAGTGCTTGTAAAATTCATGGAGCCACTGAACTGGGAAATGAAGTGGGAAGAAGATTGCTCACGATGCAGCCACAACATTGCGGGCGATACGTGGCTTTGGCGAGTATAAATGCCGAAGCAGAGAAATGGAGTCATGCTGCAGGTATAAGAAGAGTGATGGCAGACGCCGGGATTCAGAAAGCTCCAGCCTATAGTAGAGTAGTTCCAATGCGAAATCTGGTGTATGTATCATCATCCTCTTGATGTTGTTACTCTCTCATTGATTTTACTTTTTAAAATAACATTTGATTTTATCACCATGCTCTCCCCACTTGTCCACCCCTGCTAAAAGTCCACACTGGACAATTGTCTGAACAGCAAACTGGACAATTATCTGAACAGCAAGTCGTTAAGTCTGTAAGTTCCACAAACAAAAATGATCTATAGTTTATATTGGAGTGACAATATCTCTATTGGCACGAGATATTTTGAGTGATTCTAAAAGTAAAATCATGAATAGGGATGATAAAAAAATCCGTAGAACCCGATCCTCGTAAGTACCCAACTCAATCAAGTTGGGGAATCTCTAGTTTGACCCAGTTCCTGTGTAAAAATGAAAAGGGAAACTTATTGGAACAAGATGCTACATGGACTATAACTTATAACTTATTCAAGAAGGGAAATAATTTCATATATATATATATATATATATATTTTTTGGAAATAACCTTAAACATCAATATTTTCAGTGATAGTCAAAGTGAGCATAGTTCGACGGTAATTGACATATATCTCTAACTAAGAGGTTGTGAGCTCGATCTCCACCCTTACATACTGTACTACATATATATGTGTGAGTGATGTTTTTGTAAAATGACATTAACAAATCCCTTGAACACATGTTGAACAAATTTGCATTCAATTTATCAATATTATACTATAATCAATTTAAATATAATTGAACTAGTTAATTAATTTCTTAGTAAGGCGTGGATTCAAATTCTGGCTCTTTTTGTTTAAACTATAACCCAACAAATAGAGCATAAAACAAAAACGCTTTTGTTTGGAAAAAGTCTCAAATATTCATTGTACTTTTTTTTTAACTGGTCTTTTCAGATGACCAGCCACACTGGAACTGAGACACGATTCGGACTTCCACGAAAGGCAGCAGTGGAGAATCTTGGACAATGGACATTCGAGTCTTCATCGATTGGGTGGTCGGATGCAATCGCCCGGCTGCAGCAGTATTGCATCAACTATCACCGAATATAAATGGACGTCTTTTCTTTTTCTTTTTTAGTGGACCAAATTCTAGACGAAGGCCATTGTTCTTCGGGAAGTGAGAAACGGTTTCAAATAAAAAACATTGAACTTACTTAGATATTAATCAATTCACCTATTTACACATCGGCTCCCTAATCCTTAAGCCTCGGGACTTGGAAATATGATGCATGGGACAGGCTGATGTGTCTATCGCCATTTTCTTGCTAAGGTGTTTTAAAAAAAAAAAAAATTTAACTACATTAACATTATTTAAAAATGATGTAGATAGTATTACATTATTGTCTCTAAACAAATTTTATTAGGTAAATTTCATCAATTTTTTTGGAGTACGCAGGTAATCGAACTGATCACCATTCAATCTACGCGAATTAACTTCCAAGGTCGAACAATCTCAATTTCACTACAAGATTGCTTTGCAAATGAATGCTGGGTTGGGTCACACCTAGAATGGTGTGAGCCACATGCGGAAAAACTCGCATGTACGATTTTTAGGAGAATCTGGTCGAAAGACCGCCTAGCACCCACCCAACTAGAGGGACTGCAAAATTAATAGAGTACAAAACTTATCTTCAAGCTTTACCTRATCGTACATATGTGACTTAACCCGTTGAGCTAGGTTCAAGTTGGTTAAATTTATTAAATTGAACTTTAGATTTGATGTCGTAAAGGGATAGTTTAGGTGGCTTGGATCTTCAAGAAATATCTCCACCAAACAATGACCGGCCTCTTGCGTATGTATGGGTGCACCCCAACGTCTAGGTAATAGGGATATAAAGGTCAAAGGATCGCCAACTCCTGGATAGTAAAAATTTGGATTTGATAATAATATTCCCATTTTTACCTTTATGAGATGGAAGTTCTGATTTTCTTTTTTTCTAATGATTTTATATTGCTAGCATGGCATGGACAAAAATAAACAAGGTTGTATATGAAAGTTGTGATATATTGAATTCAATTAAACTCCAAAGATTGTCCTTACAATAAACCTTACATCTAAGTTAGTGAGAATGTGATTTTATCTATACCGTTCATCATATTTATATTATTGTTTGAAAAAAATTGTCTAAATAAAGTTTGCAATTAAATGCGAAAAGTTGATCAAGTATAATTAAAGGTTTAAATTTAATTGAACTAAATATAGAAATTATTATTTTTTATAGTATCTTACGTATGTCTCGACGCAATTGTTATTGTTATAGTAACTTAGAAACGACGTTGTGAAATTTTGGAAGATTGTTATAAGTAGGAAAAGATCCAAGGTGGAGTTTCTTAGTCGAAAGTTAAATCATCAATGCGTATCTAATCAAATTTTCATTTTAACAAGTAATGTTTGATTATTTATAATTTCTTTGGTATATTTTTCACGCTTATTGTATATATATTTTTATTCTTGGCAAAAATTAAAATAAAAATAATTTAAGAAAAAAAAATTCTTCTTTTAGTTATCAAAATTTAACTTAAATTAGAGTAAGTAACAAAATAAAGAAGTATCAAAATGGCAATTAGGACCTACATGATTTAAATTATAGGTTTAAATTGAATAACAAGTGCATGGATGTCCGATTTTTTTATTGAATATATATATATATATATATATATATATATTAACTAGTTAAGCAAAAAATTATTTTACTCTAAAAAGGCCTTTTTTTTTTCTTTTGCGTTTTAGTACAACATGTGAGGTGGAGGGATACAAACTCATGACTTGTCGATGAGAGAGACGTATCAATAATTATCACTGAACCAACCTCATGTTGGCAAGATTTTTTAATTTTGATTTTCAAGATTCAAATTATGGTTATGAAAAAAATTTGAGCTAAAGTTCCCTTATTAGAAAATTAAATCATCAATAAGTTTAGTTGATTTTTTCTAAAATGAAGGGCGTTTTTTTCCCTTTACTTTTGGATTCAGGAGGATTCGAACCTAGATCTTGGGTGCAAGTCTCTTGTCATTGCACTAACACCCGAGGGTGCAACATAAAAGGTGTCATGACGTTTAAGAGATCATAAGACAATTGACCTTCTACTTTGTAGTTTGTAGTATATATAAAATATTAAAAATATTGCAGTTTTTTTTTTTTATCTAATTTGTCCCCCAGTGATTTTTTCAGAATCTAAATATTAGATTATTATATATAAGATGTTAGAAGATAAAATTTGATCCAAGCTAATAAAATTTCTAACTCCGCTCCTAAGAGTAAATCATGAGTTTTTTTATTTTGAGGAAAAAGATATCATTATCTAATCTATATTCCATTTCTAGTAGATACTTTTATGGTAGAGGTTTAATGCAGAGTTTAATTAAAGAACAGATATTAAAATTGAGTTTTTAGAAGGTAAGGAACTAAAATGAAAAAAAAAAAATCTCTTATTTATAATATAATATTTTAAGAAAAACGCTCCGAATATATTTTTACTTTTATTATTATTTAAATGGCAATATTTTTACTTTTATTTCTTCAAAAGGGAAATATTTTTATTTTTAATTTTTTTAAAATGGAAATATCTTTATGATACCTTGTTCTAGAAGCACTCCTACTTGGATAGTTGTATATTATCGAAAAATTGAATTATTTTTAACTTGATTTTTTATATAAATCAATAGAAAATAAATGATAAATCTCACATCATTATTCTTATCGGGCCAAGTATGTACTTTTTAAGCTTTTTCTAATTATATTTTAAATTATTTTATGTTTTAAGCTTTTCAACCCACTAATTTTCTGTAATTAAACATTAAATCCCTAAACAAACGAATGAGGCAACATTAAAATATAGTTTTTTTTTAAAAATATATCATATTATATTTTAATTCAATGGGTTGAGATAATATTTTTATTTATGTTTTAAAGAAAATAGAAATTAAAAAAACATAATAAAAATTTTGATTTTGTTATTTTAAAAGAATGAGAAAGGAGAAAAAATAACGTCCAATTTCGACCAAAATTTGAACCTGTTCAAAATCAGCTGGAAGTGTAGCACATTTTTGCTCCAATGGCAGGAAAATCAGTGGCTGCTCACACTATAAAACCAGAGAATATGCAAACAGCGAGAGAATCAATCCTCGAGCAAAGCAATTTCCATATTGCAATATCCATTTCTTCTCTGCTTTCTCAAATTCCAAATTCTGAGAAACACTCAAAGATCAAAATCTCGAGGCATTCCCCCAACAATGGCCAATCTTCCAGATTCCCTATTCGGAGAACCGTCGACAGTGGAAGCAAGCGCCGCCGTCAGCGGAAGCGCCACCGCGTCGGGATCCAGTGACTCTCGTCCTCATGGAGACCTAAGCCAGGTCTCGGTCGATAAGCTCATTCTCGCTCTCAACGACCCCCACACTCGTGAACGTGCTCTCCAGCTTCTCTCTCAGGTGCCCTTCAAAATATCAAGCAAGTTTTAAATATACCCTTAAATTTTTAAGTTCAATAGCGATTTAAAATGGTGTTTAGGGGCAGCTCGAAGAAGAAAGATGAATACAATTGCTTCCCTCTAACTTGTTCAAATTAAGATTTTAGAACATTTTTTCTCGTTTATGCCCTAAATTTTTAGAAGGGTAAGACCATGTAGGTAAAATTTTGCTAGAATTGCATTCTTTTCTTTTTCCAATGATTCAAATTTCAAACTCTTGAGGGCAGATTTTTTCCCCTTTTCAGAATAGGAGTATGTGTGACAATTTGGCTGTTCTGATATGGCATTCCTTTGGTACTATGTTTACCCTTCTCAAGGTATGAACTCTCACTTATGGCAGCCATTTTCCCATCTAAATTTTTGATTCATGTTGATTCTTTCCCTAAATGGGCCAATGGCATTATGGCAATGCCTTATAGGAAAAACAATCTCAATCTTCAGGCTGTGATTCCTTTTGTTGTGTGTTGAAAAAATTACAGGAAATAATGGAAGTTTACCATTTGCTGTCTAAGCCTGACCTTACAGAAAAGGCTTCAACTAGGGTCTGCAATGCTCTTGCTCTTCTTCAGGTTATGATCCTTTTTTATTCTTTTGATAATTTCTTCAGGTTGTGATCTGATCAATGCCTCCATCACTTTCCAATAAATCTTCTGATATATGCCATCTAGAAAATGAATTATATCTCCATGGTTGAACTCAAGTTGATATTCAATTTTATCTTCTTCTTACTTATGGATATTTGTTCTTATCTTCTGCAGTGTGTGGCTGCTCACCCAGAAACAAGGGTGCCATTTATGAAAGGTAAAATCTTGATGGAACTTCGAAATTCCTCTGACTTTATTGGGAGTTTTGTTTATCGTTTAGGCATTTTATATCAGAGTTTAAGCAGTCGTCAATGGCTAGTTGGAGTTTAGTAGCATTATTGGTCTGAGTTTTGCTGATCTTCCAATGATTCTGATTGAATGTACATTATTTTGCAGCTAAAATCCCACTCTATTTGTACCCTTTCCTTAATACCACCATCAAGGAAAAACCTCATGAATATCTCAGGCTCACTAGCTTAGGAGTAATTGGTGCTCTAGTTAAGGTAGCCATTCCTTTATTTTTCTTTATATTTTATCTTCTATCTTATAGCGAACATCGACACTTGCGTGCATCAATTACTATTTCAAAGACAAAAATAACACACACATAAGAAGTTGTTCTGTATCAAAATCTTAGAGTTCTTGGTTTTAATTACATTGTTTATTTTGTTAACTACAAGTTTGAAGTATCGGTCAAAACGAAGATATGTGATCATTTTGCACCACTCATGCAGGTTGATGACAAGGAAGTTATTTATTTCTTACTCAAAACTGAGATAGTCCCATACTGCCTGCGGTGCATGGACGTCGGAAAGGGCTTGTCAAAGACGGTGAGTACCAGGACATGAGATTGTCAACCGAGTTTCAGACGTTGCTTTCTCAATAAGTTGAGCACATTTGCACATTTTATTACAAGGCGGTTTACTCATAATCTCAAGATCACCCAGGTTGCCACATTTATTGTTCAGAAAATTCTAATGAATGAAGAGGGATTGAGGTACTGCTGCATCATAGCTGATCGGTTTTTCGCAATAACTCGTGCCTTGGAGACAATGATGGAAAAACTCGCGGAAGAACCCTCACGTCGGCTGCTAAAACATATCATTCGCTGTTATCTTAAGCTATCTGAAAGTCCAAGGTTAGCTCAAAATCCCCTGAAAGGCTTCACAAACGTCATAATTTGATTGATTTTACCATTACCCTTTTTGCTACAAACCATTAATTTTGTGCTTGGAATTATTGATAAAGGGCATGTCTTCGACTTGGGAGACTCCTTCCTAGGATGCTAAATGATGGCGCCTTTATCGACCTCCTTCATGTAAGTTCCACTACGACAACGAAAGTTCTTTTACTATAAGAATTGAATGCCATTGCTATTTATCGCCATTTGTCCATTGAGAATCAACATTCCCTTGATAACTCCAAAAACAGAACTTTAAGTTTCTTCAAGTGGTTTCTTGTTCATGTCCTCATACTAGTTGCAAATACAGATCAATTCCTTAATGTGATCCTTAGTTTACCACAATATTTACATCCAATTCTGAGACTTTTCAATTATTGTTGTGATTTACCATCTACTTCCAGGACGACCCTGCTGTCATGAGCTCGTTTCAGCAGTTGCTTCGCAATGTACATGACCGTAGGATGCGAAAAGACGAAGACGAAGACAAAGACGAAAATGGTTATCCCAAAACAGGCTAAAGTTATAAGTTTTCGCAAGCTTTGTCTATTCCGGTGCACAGGGTTACATAATTTACACATAGTTCTAAAGATGAATTGGTTCTTCATCTTTCACACATCTCTTTTTTCTTTGTTTGTAGATCATAAGAGTTAATGTATTTATTTAACTGCAACTGAAAATGATAATGTTGGCTTATTTTCTTCCAAAGGATTCCCTATTTATTTAAAAAACATTCTCAAAAATCTTAATCAAACTATAAAAATGAAAAAAAAAACCTATATTTTATTTTTTTAATTAACCAAGATTTCAAAAACAACTTCTAAACAAAATAAAAAAAATCATCATAAAATAAGTATAAAAACATATATTAGAATTCCTCAAATGAAATATATATATATACAAGTAAATAAAATGGTAAAGAAATATGAATATGAAATAAAAAATTATAATCTATAGTTTTTCTTTCGGTAAAAAAAAAAATGCGGACACGGTTTATGATATGAGTCATGTGACGCGGAATTCCAGCAAGCTAAAGCCATAAATTTTCATCTTATAATAAAATTTGAAAACAAAGAAAGAGGTGAGAGAAAGTGATAGAGAGATGATTTGTTCCCAAAAATTTCAGAAGAGCGAATTAGAATAGATTGCAGTACCCAATAAAACTCCGATTCTCCTCTTTGTTCGTAAGAGATTCAGTTGCAATCCCCCACTTATTTATTCCAACTATTCACTCTCTGCTTACCAATTTCTCCGATTCATCGCCGGAGCCGATGGCAATTCAGGCCACTTCTTGCACTCCGGCACTGATTAAGTTCGGATTGGCTACCATTGCCCTCTGTATCGCCGGCTACATTATCGGCCCTCCTCTCTATTGGCACTTCGTCGAAGGTTTGGCCGTCGTTAGCCGCTCCTCCTCTTCTTCCTCCTGCCCTCCTTGTTTCTGCGACTGCCCTTCTCAGCCCGTCATCTCAATTCCCGAAGGTATTTTCAGTTTCCCCTGCTGTTTTTCTTGTTCCTAATGGCCCAGATCCGATTGGATCTCTTTTCTTTTGCATCTAATTTGGGCGGAGGTTTGTAGATTTTGGGATTCGCTTTCTTAGATCTCGTTGTGGGTTTTGCTGTAGCATCGTTTTTTCGCCCCCTCTTGCTCTCTCTGTAATTGACTGAGTTTGGGTTAATTTTCTTCTGTTTTGGGGTTTGCTTACAATTCCCTTTTGCTCTCTGTTCCTTGATTCTCATTGCAATGTAGCGTTTGTGAGATTTATAGTTTCGGTTTGTTGTTTATCTGATTATTAGTTTGAGCTTCTTCCTTTTGAATTTAAGTCGTGCCTTTCATGTAATTGTATACTGACTGTGGTTTGTGGTTACTGTCTGTGCAGAATTGAGGAACACTACCTTTGGAGGTTAGTTTCACTTTCTTTCTCAAAAGTTTATTTATCTTTTTGCTTCATTTATGTCAAATAAAACCAATGTTGATGCTAAATCCACCATATGAACATACAAAAGCTCCATATCTTAACAGATCATGAATTAGACTGCATGTTTTCTAGAGAGCCCTTTGCTGATATTTCCTCCATTTATATGGTTCTTTAAAAATTTTCTGGAAAAAATACTTCTTGTTAGGGTAAGGTCTGCCCTTGAGTTTTCTTTGGCTGTGAATCATGCTGCTCTTGAGAGTGTGTTTGAAATATCTATCAATTGCTTCCTTAATACCCTTTAAATGTCATGATTCATAAGTGCCTCTGAAAATATAGTGAGATAGTAAATTTAAGGCCATGATCATTAGAAACTTGGGCAGCACAGTGTTCTACCATTTGTATGAAGTTTTGAGACAGTTCTACTGTTGAACTGTTATCGGTTGTATGTTGTGCAGATTGTGTTAAGCGTGACCCAGAAGTGAGTCAAGACACCGAGAAGAACTTTGCAGACCTATTGTTAGAGGAGCTGAAGCTAAAGGAAGCCGAAGCGTTGGAAAATCAGCGACGTGCTGATATGGCTCTACTCGAGGCGAAGAAGATGACATCTCAGTATCAAAAAGAGGCAGACAAGTGCAATTCCGGGATGGAAACATGTGAAGAAGCGAGAGAGAAAGCCGAGGCAGTATTAGCTGCACAGAAGAGACTAACAGCAGTGTGGGAGCTAAGGGCTCGCCAAAGGGGATGGAAGGAAGGGGCTGGCAGGTCTCGTATCCAAAAGCAGGGAAATATTCAGACTGCATAAAAGGGCATTCCAAACAGTAACACTTCCTCCCATTCTGAATTTTTGTTTTCCTATATATATATATTCTTCCGAGCAGTAACTTAAATCTTACTCTACGTCGCTACAAATAGATCGAAGGGATTATTACAGGTATCTTTAGCAAATCGAAATGTCAATTACCATTTTAGTTAATCACAAAGAAGAAAACGTTCATTAGTTGAAAGCAACTAATGTATGCAAGAAGTTGTGTTACTCTACTCTCATTTGTCCATCTCCATTGTGTATTTTGAAGTTCCATTCTCTGACTGTGAAAGCAAAATTCTTCTGGGTTTAAACAAGTTTGATAGTATACAAAATTCAAATACTCTCTTGCTTTGCCAAAATCATGGTATACATTATACTATCAGAGAAAGAAAAAGGTAGCAAAAGAGGCAGCAAGTTCCCAAATATTTGTATAAGTTTTAGATAATTTTATTAGTGCATGTTGAGCCGAAACCTTCTGATATGATCACAATCACAACAGCATTTAATTTACATCAAAAGGGCAGTTTCAGTTAGCCCTTTGTAGGCCTGAAATTGAAGCTCCCTCCCCTGTAATGGAATCATACCTTCGGAATATGTAGGCGACGAACACCACCGCCGTGAGCACCACCAAGTCCT